TGAATCACAATTCTTTGGCAAATAATAAGAGTTGAGTTGAAAAGTTGAAATTTAATCTCAATGAAGTGATGGTAATTGATTTTATTAATTATTATTCACTTTTTTGTTCAAACACAAATTCTTCCAACATCCTAAGCAAGCCACATTACTTCTTGATAAATAAATAATATGTTTCAATAGTGTTTTCCTATATTTTGAAAAATTTCTGAAAAAGCATTAATATTTTCCAGCCAACCTTAATGTCTACAAAAAGCAGATTTTGAGAAAAAACAGAGTAAAGTCACGCAAACACAATTAAATTTTATATGTTACCAATTTCCGGAAATAGATATATCGAAATCATAACAACCTTTCCTGATAATTGTGTACGTGGTACTTCCTTCAAATATTGTAATGGTAAGTAGCAATCAACTGCGTAAGTTTAATTCTTGTTTTTGTGCTTACATCCGTGTAAGATATTTTAGGAACAAAACTGTAAAATGTTCTCTCAATCGTGCAGATTTTTTGCTAAAAATATGAATATTTTATCAGCTATAAAAATAATTTCAAACACCCAACCGAATTGTTCAATTTTGAAAACTTACCAAATTATTTCTGAAATGACATAATCATATGCTGGAAAATGAATATCCAAACTATGAAAGTTATTTTTAGCAATGATCCTCATAACGATTTTCCTGAATATTCCGCAAATGGTAATGATGCAAGAATGGTGCTGTATTATATATCCATGCGGAGATTAGTTTTCCTCTTTTTTCTTCATCAAGAATAAATTCTCGAGATACTGCGTATTATCTTTCCCTGTTGATTCTTCATTTTGTTCTGCCATTCTCCCATTTACTTACCTTGTCTTATCACTAAAGACGATCAACTGCATGTAATGAAGGATAAATCTACAAAAATAATTTTATTTGCAGATATCTGTCCCGGACAATCTACCACGCTAAAGACGACACCAAGAACGTCAACCGAAAGACGAGGGAAATATTAATTTCCTAGTATTAAATTTTTATTATAAATGACTTAATTTTATAATATTTTTGAAAATCAGCGTTTTCCAGCATCAATAATAGTTACTACTACTACAATGACAACGCCTACGAAAAGAGTGGTACCTAAAACGTCGCAACCAACAGTACCGGCAACAAAAAGAACCGCTGCTATCCCCACCACTCAACCATTTTATTCCGATTGGACTGCCTGGTCGTGCACCGAAAGTTGCGGTGGTTGCGGGATTGAGCGCAGAACAAGAAAGTGCTTGTCGATTCCCACATCTTGCACGTAAGTCAAAGGTCAACAAGAAAAGTTAAGATCAACAAGAAAAGTGTCAAAGGTCAACAAGAAAAGTCTGTGCAACATTAAAAACTGTTGAATTTTTTTTTAATTTCCGCCAAATATTTCATTGGAAACAATTTTAGCGAGGAAACAGAGGAATTCAATGATCAGAACTGCAACCAACATCCATGTCCATTTGGCAAGAGAACTTGCTGTGTCAATTACCGCCTTGAACAAATGAAAGAACGTTTTGTTTGCATACCATAAGTATAGCACCATGTCCGAATTAAATTTTATGTATCGCTGATTCACTCAGTCTTTAAATATAAACTTTAAATATAAATTGTACCGGAATAAGTTAAATGGATTGTGGTTATTGAATTATGAATTATCACTCAGTGTAGACCACTTCAGCTGTACATTAATCATTTTGAATAAACAAATCAAACTATGGCAACAGTAAAACCGTGAATCAAAGAGAACAATGATTAGCAGGTTCGAGGAGAGAAACAAACTGCAGCTTCAAATTCGGAGAGTTCTGGGATACTTTCTAAGTGAATCTGCCTGCCAATGTTTCAGTCAACGACCACTTCAAATATAATGCAAAACATTAGAGAGAGGGAGAGAAGAAGAAATTGTTTTCGTATAAGAAGTAATTTCTCCAGATGCTTATTTCTATAGTGTCGAGGCCAATGATAATTATCGCTGTACTGTGGAAATTCTCGAATTTCTCGACAAAAGAACTTTGCAGCTTTTGAGATCAAAATTTGAAAAAACAAACATCCTGCAAATGAAAAGTGAAATAAGCGTTGTTTCGAAATAAATGATAGTAGCATGCCCCATTTCTATTCAAAGTATTGATTAATGATGATTTCAGAGATTTAAGTTCATTAACACAATCACAAATTAGAAATAAAGGTGTGAAGAACCGTAACAGCAAGCAGCATAATGTCGTTTTTTTGAGAAGAGTGCACAGTGGTTGAGAGAATGTTGGAATAGTGAGAACCGGAAGATGACAAGAAAAAGCGAAATTTATAATGGGAGATGTGCGCAGAGATTGGAAGAAATGGCAGACAGCAGAACAAAAGAGAGAATGTGAAATCAAAATTGGATTGTGAGAAAAAAGTTTGAATTAAGATGTGGACGAGATTTATCACACTTCTCAATGAATATTGATCTCATTGAAAATGGTTGCTTTATTAAATTCCCTTCTGACCTCTCTGACCTCTTCCTGACATCACTATTAACTGATCGTGTGTGACAATTTTTTTAATGTGAAGCAGTCTCGCTTACCGATTATCGTTATAGAAGTAAATCAGGTAGCAAAAATTTGAATGAATGGGAGATGACAATTAAGCGGTACCATAGTTAGTTGCATCATCCGATCTTTTTTCAATTCTTTTATTATCGTATCGCGCATCTTTTTATCTTTTTTTTACTAATTATATTTGTTGTAAGTTTATTTCCAAATCTTTTATCCTTTACAGCAGTTGTAGCTTTTCAACATCACCTCATGCATGTTTCTCTATTCTTTTTTTTTTAAACTTTAATGTTGCAAGCCGTACAGCGTACCGTTGCTGTTACTGTCAATGCTTCAGCTCAAGGAAAAGCTGTTGTTGGATCGTTTTTGAAACGAATTATGTATGTCATTATTCATTATTGTTGCAGTGATAACTTCTTGTTTAATCATTTCAGTGTTTTTTACTTCTCTTTTTTTAAATCGACTTTGTGTTGTCACCGTATGAATAAAAATTGTATTTCCAGTTTTCTTTAGAATTTTAAACAACTGAAAATTTTTTTTAGATCGACGACATTATTGCTTATGGGTAAAAATCATTTGGCCAATGAAAAATCACCTTACCTGCTTCAGCATGCCAATAATCCCGTTTACTGGTTAGTAATTCCTCAACTTTTTTTTCAACCATTTAATCTTTATCATCTTTTTATTGTATTCTACTTAGAAATTTTGTATTTTTTCAAGTCGTTAGAAAACATTTGAGCGTTAAAAATATTTTTACAGGTACCCTTGGGGCAGAGAAGCTTTCGATAAGGCAAAAACAACAAATCGTTTGATATTTCTTTCAAGTAAGATGATTTTTCTTCAGAAATAATTTCTCAATTAATGAATTAATTGTTTGGATTGGATAAATGAATCTGTCAGATCATCAATCAGTTGTTTGAATTGGACAAATGAATCTATTAAATCATCGATTAAAACAGAACATAAACTATTAAATCATCAATTAAAACAGAACATAAACTTTTCAAGACAGAACATAAACTTTCACGGATCCAAATTTTCTATGTATTGGTTGGATTACAGTTGGCTATTCGACATGCCACTGGTGTCATGTAATGAATCATGAGTCGTTTGAAAATGAAGAAGTTGCTAGAATTTTGAACGAAAACTTTGTAAGTATAAAAGTAGACCGTGAAGAACGTCCTGATGTCGATAAAGTTTACATGGCTTTTATACAGGTTTCATTTTTGCAATTTTCTAATACTAGATTTTATTGACCCTTAAGTTTTAGTTTTATGTTGTGGTATTTACATCAATTTGAACCATTTTTTTATTTCACGAACCCTTGTTGTTGACATTTTTCACTGAAATTTGTTTTTAGTGAAACTTTTCTACTAATTTCTGTAGTTCAGGTGAATAAAATTATCTTGGCTCTCTTTGTAGACTTTGACAAGATCGATCAGCTGAATAAAATCTGTACTTAAGAAGTTTTGCAAGATATCACTTTTTTTAAGGCAATATCTGATAGAGGTGGTTGGCCACTGAGCGTCTTTTTGACACCTGATTTGAAACCGATCACCGGCGGTACATATTTTTCACTTCGTGATGGGAATGGTCGACCAGGTTTCATAACGTTGCTCAACATTATTGCAGAAAAGGTTTTTTTTTTTTTACTTTAATTTTCATAAATTTACGATTTGATATTATGTCTCCACATCTACACAGAACTTCCCACTATGAAGCAACATTACATGTTAGTGGCGAACCGAAGATAAAGAAATGGCAGACGCAGCAGAGTTATTTCTTAGTTCAATGAAGCGTTCAATGAAACCGAAACACGGAGTGCTTCCATCACTTGAGAAAATCGAGTGGGTGTGTTATAATCATTTGCGGGATACATTTGATGAGGAGTACAAAGGATTTGGTTCTGCACCTAAATTCCCTAATTGTGGTTAGCATTTAATTTCCGACTATTCCAGACCTATGTACTTTAGCTCTTGTAACTTGAAATGGTCGAAAATTTACTTTATAAGATTTCTCTACCAATCTATTATTTAATTTTTATAATAGATAGATAGAGTTGTAATAGTAAAGTATAGTACTGTGTAGTATATATGTATTGCACATGTAAGTTTGATGAGAAAAAAAATAAGATGTAGTAATTTTAAATTTGGTATATGATACAAGCTATTTTATAAATGATTTGCTCACCTTCTGAATATATGTATGTTGCAGTATATCTTGAATTTCTGCTTTGTTTTTACTGTGCTCACGTAAATAAAGAAGCTGGCAGGAATGCATTACAAATGGTTGGTGAAACACTGATGGCAATTGATCAAGGAGGAATTCATGATCATATCGGCAAAGTATGTTGTTCTGTTTTGGTAGTACAAGATATGGCTAAATTTAAAGCATTGTGGATCCAATGCGAAAGGTAAAACGAGGAAGGAAAGGGTCGAAGTTATTGGTTTAAGTGAAGTATCTTTAATTCTCGCTGCAACAAGATATGCATCCTTTTTATTCTTCGTTATTTATTGTTGTTAAATTGTAGGGTTTCCATCGTTATTCGGTAGACTCTAGATGGCATGTGCCTCATTTCGAAAAAATGCTGTATGATCAAGCTCAGCTGTTGGCAATATATGCAGTTTATCATGCGATCACCGGTGAATTTCTTGATGTTATTGAGGATATTGTAAGCTATGTTGACAGTAATCTTACACACAAGGTATTTATTTTTGTAATCAGTAGTCTTAAAAAATCTAAACGTATTTTTTGGTAAAGGAGGAGAAAATAAATTTATATTTAAAGAACGCTGAAAAAAGGTAGTTTCAGTCCGGTGGTTTCTATAGTGCTGAAGATGCGGATTCGTTGCCCAATTTTAGTTCAGTAAAGAAATGCGAAGGTGCATATTATGTTTGGACAGAAAAAGAAATCGATGAAGCACTTAGCGATGAGCCAGTTAATGATATTGGAGAGCTGACTTATGCTGAAGTTTTTAAAATATATTATAATATTAAATCTAATGGAAACGTTCCGCAGTACGAAGTAAGTTTTCAATTCTTTTTCATTTTTTTCTGTATTTAGTTGATTTCATTATATTTGTTTTGAAATATAATTGAAAACAGGTTTTGCAATATAAATAATATGATATATACCCAATCACTGTTTCATCTTTCAATCGAAGTATTAGGGCGAAATTTGCTTTAATGATGCTGTCATGTTTATCAAATCTTTGCATTTTATATAGCTCACTTTTCTCTCTCATAATGTTATAATTACTTATTTAGTACAAACGACCTTACCACATTTTAAAATAGCAGCTGCTAATCGGGTCTTCATAAATAATATAAAAATAGGCAGCCAATAAGAACAATAAAGTTTGAATCCCAACGGAATTTTAAACTTTGAAGCATTTTTCTGATTGATATTCTCAATTATAGGATCCATATGACGAACTGAAATTACAAAATGTATTAATGATGAAAGATTCGCATAGTGTTTGCGCAAAAAAATGTGGGCTTAGTACGGATAACCTACGAAATGTAATCAACGAAGCAAAAGCCTCACTTCGGGAGGCACAGAAGAAGAAACCGCGACCCCATCTTGATAACAAAGTAAGAATGACCGCTTCTTATTTACTCAGTTTTGTTTGTTTATTGGCTTTTTTAATTTGACATTCATTTTTAATGATAATATGAAAACTTTGTTGGATTTTTTAGATTATAACATCCTGGAATGGATTGATGATTAGCGGTTTGGCAAAAGCATCGATTACTTTACAAAATGAGAACTTGTTGCACCGTGCTCAACGTGCTGTTGATTTCATTAGAGAGTATTCTATGGAAAGCGGTCATCTATTACGTGTAGCCTATGTTGGAGCCGATGAGGAAATTGTTAAAAAGTAAAAATACTGGTCTTACGTTTGTATGTAGTTATTCCTTATTATTATGAGAAAATCATATTTGAGCTTTTTTGTAAAAGTTGCTGGGCTAGATAACGTCGAGGCATGGAGAATACGTGTGATTTGTAAACTTTAAGCAATCAAATAAAGCAGTGCGTTGTGTTAGATCTATATAGACTAAAAGGATCCAAATCAGAGGACGAATACTTAAACAAAATAGCTTGTTTCTACCGTCATTTTGAGAGTTTGATACGCGATCACATGTTCGTGTTTTTGCATGTTCACTAGCGAAATATACTGCATTGAATGACTGGACTACTAGTGATATAGGATGATTTTATAGTATTAGTACATATTTTTATCACTTCGCAAGTAAAAATTACAAGTCTGTGGTTCTGCAATTCTGATCCTCACTAAATTTCAGCGTTGCTCCGATTCAAGCATATGCGGACGATTATGCATTTTTGATACAAGGGTTATTGGATCTGTACGAAGCATGTTTCGATGAACAGTTAATTAAACTGGCATCTGACTTACAAAAAGAAATGGATTACCGCTTCTGGGATGCAGAGAATGATAGTGGCTATCACCAATCAGTTGAAGACCCACATATTATCATCCGAATCATAAATGGTCGGTTTGTAAGTATACTGATATTAGTTAGTAGAGGAATTTACAATAATGACTTCTTGTTTTCAAATATAGAGGTACTGAGACTTTGAAGGAAAGTCGAACTAAAGCGATTTAATTGATTTTAGATTAAGTTTATTTTAATAAATATGATTTAAAAAGTCAGAAATACTGAAAACAATAAAACAGAAATGAAAAATTCAGATCAGGATGGAGCTGAACCATCGATAAATTCAGTTGCATCAATGAATCTGGTTAGGCTTTATGGTATTACCAATGAAAAAACTTACAATGAACGAGCACGTAAAATTTTTGAAAGTGCTGCAGAAACTTTGAATAAGTATCCGTTTGCTGTCGCAAAAATGGTCTGCGCATTACAAAAACATATACGTCCGACCAAACAGGTATCAATATAAGTTAAAATTTTTATAGATTTCGTTTTGCATATTTTCTTTAATTTTCGTTGAAAAAAAAAAAACTTTTTCCTCCTGGAATATATATCTTGGTTGTTATAGGTTGTTGTGGTTGGTTCAAGAAACAATGAAACAACTAAACAGATGCTATCGCTTGTTTCAAAACACTTTGATTGTCTAAAAGTTTCGATATCATTAGATCTTGAAAGAGGTATGTATGACACTTGGAAAGTTTGAATTTTATAAAAAGATCCCTTTTTGACGATATAATTGCTTTTTTCTTTTGGTTAAGCACTTCTGAAATTATTATGATTATTTTATTAGCATATTTCCTGGTGTCCGCTGAATGCTAAGATATTTTATCTTTAAAAAATCATGCTAATGTTGCTGCCTGCCATTAAGTAATATTTGAAGTGGGATTGCAAGGTCTTTAAAAATTACTCAATTTATAGATTCATGGCTGCAGAGTGTAGACGATCACTTAAAAGTATTAGCAACTTCGACAGATACTCCTACTGTTTACATCTGTGAAAATTTTGAATGTTCACTACCAGTCACATCACTAAAGGAACTGAAGGATAGATTAGATACAACGAAATAATTGATGTTTTTCTAATGCACCATGAACCATTCTCGTTATGCTCTTTACATATAGAGCTTAATTGTTTCTGTTGTTTTTAATGCCTTTATTTCATGTTTATGTGATTTTGTGCAGTTCGGTTTGCCTCTAATTTGAAATTTATATTTTTTTATAAACGAAGTTACTTATTGAAGTATTTCGAAAAAAATAAAATGAATTTGTTGAAATGAATTTTTTTGCTGCGAAAAACAACGGAATGGACTATCTATAAATTATATTGTAAAAATTAGGCCAAATATTGAGCCCAACTTTTGCATTAATCCCTGATGATAACAATAATAATTTAAAATTTAAACCTATTCATATAAAGTAACATTTATTGGTGATCCCGGTTTGGTAGATGCTGGGACTTATGAGATGCTATGTAAGCATTTTTTCAGATATTATATTTTACTTTATATAAAGTAAAAAAAATATTAAAAACTTTCTTGAAATTCTTAGAAAATTTATTTTATCTTATACTTAGCAGAGAATCCACTATGTTTAATTCAAAGCATTCCTAACTTAAAATTTTCATTCATTAATATTAAGTAATGCGAGCATATTCTTCCACTAAAGTTTTACTATAATGGAGATGAATTTCAAAGAGTTTATCACAGAAAAACAATTTTTGTTCTTCGAAGATAAGATAAAGGAGTTGTCTTATAATCATGCAATAATAAAACACCTAAGTGGATCCATAAATGATACATTTTGAAATGAAAAGTTTGTGTTAAAGGCTGAAGTGGATGTTTTGATGACGTAAATGAAAGCTGTTCATAGCTATTTATTTTTTACAAATTTTACAAATCTCCCGACAAGTTCAATTTTCAACACAATGGTGATAGTGCTGCCGAACTGAAACGCTCTGTGCTTCAGCTGTACTCAATAATAGCAGCATAGTTGGTGAGCTGATCGCTTTGTTGCTGCAAATTCGTTCCTTTTCGAGTTTTATTTTCTAATCAGCGTTCTAAAAATCTTTCAAAAATCGTAGAGTTCCTTAGAAATAATACATAATGTTTAAACGGTTCAAATCCATTTTATTCTTTCAATTAAAAAAAGGCGAATGTCCATATATTTAGAAGACTATCGTCTCACTCATTGCAATCAAAAACATATTTGTTAGGTGATAAAATAGTTCTCGTTTTTAAGTGAATATCACAAAACAGCTCACCAAAAAAATCTTAGTAAAATTGTTTCAATAGCTTCCAATTATCGAATTTGTTATTTTCTAGATTTTCTCTTCCCCAGTTAATCGGTCTTTAGTGTTCGAACATTTTCCGCCTATCACTCAATGGTTGCATGGAAAAAACTTTTGAAATTAACTAACAATATATTATTTTCTAGAGATATTACCCCTTTGATTTGCTTCCATGCTTTTTCTAAAATTCATCTCATTAAAGCAGCAAGTAAATTTGAACAGTGGAATTGAGAAGTGTTGCTTATTGCCTATGAGTTTTAGCTATTGGACATTCTTTTTTAATTTGATCGATTTTTAAAATATTCATATCATTTTTTGCCAAGTAATGAGTTTCATTTCAAATAAAGAAAAAGAAAAAATGAAAATTACGGTCTTGAATATGCAGAGAGTAAACGAAAAGATGATTAGTAAATCGCTTTCAGAAATAATACTTCTTAAATGAATTTTAGATGGACATTTCAATTTTTCCATACTTTAGAATTATTCAGTAATTAAAGGCGAATAAGGAGTTTGAAAATGAACGATACAGGATTTAAAGCAAGAAGAAATTGAAAAAATAGATAAAAAATGGAAATGGAAATGGATGAAATCGGATGTCCACGAAAAATACACGTCAATACGTAAGTGTCCCAACTAAACTTTTAATACTTTTGAAAAATTTCCCTAAAATTTTTCAAATTTTATCTACTCGAAAACTGTACTCACTTTAAAGCAGTGGAATTCTTATTTAGCGTTTGGATTCTACAGCATCATGTTGTTTTTGCAATTTGGGATCTTTTTCACATCTGCAGAGAATGTAGTTCGGTAGCTCAAAAAAAATATTTTGAAAGTACTTCGGGATTTCAATCAAGAGTCTAGCCTAACCAAAATGTTTCCGCATTTCCATCCCAAAACAAAGAATTCTTGACTAGTCTAATGGCGAGATATCTCAGTATCAAGTTTTTCGTCAAAAAACCCACAGTGACAGATGCAGTTTCATTTGAGTATACAACACTTGTTGGTGACAACACAAGCGGATTGTTTCTTGCTTTTCATTTAGTCGATAAATTTCAAATCTTTTTGCCGAATGTTTTTCCGTGGTTTGTAGAACGAAATGTTTAATATATTCTTGAGACCAAAGTTCTTCGGAGTCACTCATAATTTTATTTTAAACTTATTATTATGCTATTACTTAATTAAAACTTTTGTGCTACACCAACCACAACTCTGACTCACTCTTCTCCTTCCTCCTCTAAAAGATCAAAGTTCACTTCGCTCATTATTCGTTAATTTTCGTCATTATAGGCAAATATAGTCCCCATATTTGATCGACAAAAAACTCATGAAAATTGAAAGATTTAAAAATTATATTAAGTCAACTCAAAAATTATGGTCCTCCAGTTGTTACGGATGGAAGGAAATTCAGAAATTTCTTCCTACCATTTTCATTCAAATTTCTGTTTCCAATCATTTTTTTAATATGAATTGAGCACTGCGTTTAGTTGACCAATCAAATAGCACGCTCATTGATGAAATCTATACCACACATAATCACACACAAAACAAAAACCACCAATTCCAGGAATATGCAAACGGGTGAAATAATCACCTACATGCTGGGCATATTCGCTATCATTCTAATTATCTCGACAATGCTTTATTATCGATACTGCAGAAAAAGTAAGTCTGTTGGAATTTCCAAGCTCTAAGTTATATCTATAGAAAAAACATAATTACAAGTCACCTAATAAGGACACCAACTAGTCTGCTGAATTCAGACTTCAGATTAGTTGATGTCCTTTAGTTTCTTCATGCGACTGTGGGAATCTTTAAAATTCTCAGAATTTTTGAGACTCATTCGCTCACTCATTCTGTACAAAATTATGATGTAAATGAAGACTGGATTCATTTAAAGTCGAAAATCATTTTTACCTTAATGTAAACAATATGATATCATACAATACAATGCTAATGCAGCACTTGCGCAGCAGAACAGTGCTGCTTAATTTTCAATATTTATCTTTACCCAAAATTTGGGAATTGTAAACTCACTCTTCAGCATAACACCACATTAACAAATATAAAATTGCGACTGAAAGTTTAGAGGCAAAAAGATTTCAGCACAGTTTATCAGTCTTTTCGGAATTAAAAAAACAACAAAACAGACATTCGGATATCCCTCCTAAAAAATCGCGGTATTTTAAGATCTCATGATTTGAATTTTGAAAAAAAGAAACCCATTTCCCCTGGTTATCCCGCCATTCAAATTACAGAAATCCTAATCTCCTGAATCTCTCCCTCCAAAAGTTGTAAAACAAAGTTTTCGCAACTAAAAGCCTAAACGGGTAAAACCGGGATTTACTACTTCATTTAAAATTAATTCTAGTCGTTAAAAGCAATTATTAGAATTTATATATTATCTAGTAGTAAAGGCGATCTGCTTAAAGAGATTAAGGAGACAAAAAAAGACAGGGACTTCTTTATTGACTGCAGGATCCTAAAACTAAAACGATTCGAACTTTTATGTATTTCACACAATTCAGAGTTCCGAAGACAGTATGTTAAATTTTATCTAAAATTCTTTCGCATATTACTAAGCTATGATATTTTGTTTCTGACCTCTTATAAAGCTAGTTAAGTGCTAATAACTACCGAATATTCTATAATATAGATCACAATACCCGGAAAATCAAAAAAATAATTCCCTAACTATAAATTCCAAAGACCTACAAACACAAGAAATTGTTAAAACGATATAAGAGCTGTTACTATGCAAGAATTCAAATGATATTAGATATGACACTTCCGTAAGTCACTCTGTTTAGGGAATTTCTGTAGCTATAAAAATGAGATCTGGTCATTTGTGGAATAAACAGCAGCGTATAAGTCTCCATCAAAATCACGTAATTTATGTTGTTTACTGTTCTCTGTATATTAAAACACATAAAATATTAACTAAGCTTCCAGTAGTGCAAATAAAATATGTGTTTCGCAGTTCCCTGCAAAATCTTAATTCAATATTTAATGATTCTGGCAAACGGGTCACATGAATTGTGAACTACGACTTTTTATTCGACTCACATATAAAATCAGCAATATCTGGTAAAATTCGTTCAGCTTCAGACAGGGTTACTAAAAATGATGCATTGCTGACCAAATCGAGCGACTTTCGCACAGGCCAAAGACTCCACTTCGAGCTTGCTGTGTGTTGCTTATACGAAGAATCGGGTTCACTATAAAAAACAATGTTTAAAAATAATCAGTCTTTCATTTGATTTTCTAATTTATAACTGATATATTCTCCAGGTTGCCCTGATTTGCTTTCTCCTAATAGAAATTAATTCTTGAATTATAAATACAGTAAATGTTCACAAGAAATTAACCTTATGTCCTGTACATATGCAATAAGTGCTCTAGCTGAGTTTTCGATCATCAATCTGAACTGCCTTATAAATCCCAAACGAGCATTTCCTTCAAATGGCAATAAATCCATCCTGATGAGAAAATTAGCAACGCGAGGGTCTGCATGGCAATTTCGTAGTTCACTAGAAAACCTAATGTCATGACAAAGATCGAAATTATAAATAAAAATTTGAAATAATATTATAATGAGGAGATATAAAAACTGTAACATGAAAATTATTTAGAAGAATTTAAATAATGAGAAGTTCTAACATATGCAAATCATGATTTAGTTACGAGTGGTACCAACATTTTCGGCATTATTGAATTTTTTAAATCAACACCGGTTCCTTTCAGTATCTGCATGATATCGCTTTTTTGCTTGAGAAGCTTTAGTGTGCGATGCTTTGGATGTGGTGAAGAAATACATACAATTCGACGATCCAAATCAATCACTGTTAACGGCCAATGTGATTCGGCACCAGCACACATTATTGTAATCAATTCAATCTGAATCAAAATGAAATTGTATACGGAAAATGCTAATTTTAATGGAAATTCTTATGTATTTTTTGTTCAAACTTATATTTCATTTGAAAAACTATTAGTAGTTTCTTATATAGTTCGTGCTTTTGTGGTATCAAAATTCGATCGGATTATATTAATAAAAAGTGAAATACTCGCTGAATAGCCTGAAGGCGAAGATAAGGAGAATAAGGATGATGAAACGGCTTAATACATAACCATCGCCATTCTGGTGCGACAAACAAGCATAATGTCAATAACATCTATAAGAAAAATGCAAAAACATTAGAAATAAAAAATGAAAAAGAACATTGGAAATAAAAAATCCCAGAAAACATCTATTTAAAAAATAAAATTTACTTTGACAACATCAGCCTTCTTGTCACCGACAATAACACAGTGTGACTGTGATAAAAGTACCGCTGTTATAGCTTTCGCCAAAAACGAATTGTCCTGCAGTTTTTCACTT